AAAAATGATATTTTTTGTTGTTGTAAACAATTTGGTTCGTATTTTCATGTTATTCTTAATTTATATTATATCTATTTATATTATATCTAATTATATTTAATCATTAAAAGGAAGAATTCTTCTTCTTTTGAAGTCTTAAATAGGGTAATTTGAATTTTCCATAATTGAATATTTCGCAATAATTGTTTATGAAACTAAACTGAAATTTTTTTATGTTTATTTTAAATTATATTAAATTGTTTTAATATTTAAAAGTATATAATAAAATCTTCCCTTATTAATCTTATTATAACTCAAATATTTTAAGTAATATCTAAAATGTTAAATTTTATCTGGCTTTGCTTTTTTTATGTACATTATATGCAATTACAATTTTTTTTTGGATTCAATTATTTTAGATTTTTATTTAAATTTAGTTTAAAATAATATTGAACAATATTAATAATATTAATTATTATATTATAATAATATTGATAAGTTTCATACATACTTATTAAAAAATCAGATTAAATAAAAATAATCATATCAAAATATCTTCGATAATCTCTGAGATGTTCGAATTTGTGAAGCATTGCTGCAGAATAAAATCATTTTTATTAATTTTTTGAAGTAAATATAAATTTTTAAATAAATAACTTATTATATATATTTTATATATATTTTTTATTTCATACACAAAAAACGTTTGAATCTTCTTTTTTTATTCTCTTTTTAGAAAGACTAAAATATGATAATAAAGTTTGGTCGCATCTATTTTTGAAATATATATATTAGATACATTAATAATATACTCTTAGTTTCCAAAATATCTATATCTTTCATTTATTTTTCAATTAATATTAATTAATATGTTTTATATATTTGCTTAATAGTATTATGCTTTGTTTGTATATATTAATCCTATATCTTTTAGAAAATTATTTTACTTTTAATGTTCTTCATATTTGATTTTGATATAAAAAGTATATTTTTCTAAGAATCCTAAACGATCCTTATTTTCATTGTCTTTTTATTTTTTTTTTTTTTAAATTGTGACTTCTTTTCTTCCTTTGCATATCGAATTAGAATACGATCATTTGCATTCCTCTGTGTCTTTAACAAACTGTTACAGAAATCTACTGTTAACAAATTTTTTTATCTTTTCTTGCTTTTTCTATTTTTACTTTATCTTTACTTTTTTCACATTTCGTTTTTCTTCCATCATACCGCTTATTTTTCTTTGCTTAGATCTTTTTTTTTTCTTTTTCCTTGTCATCCAAATCATTTCTTCTTTTAAATTAGTTTCTATTTATCTATAATTAATATTTTCTATAATTATTTAAAAAATGCTATAAGTTATGTAAGAATTGACAAGATTTTGGCATTTAATATTTTTTATTTTTTCTTCTTTATTTGTTCATTCTCATTTTGTTTTTTCCTTATTATAATATTTTTTTCTATATTTCTTTTGTTTTTTTTTAAATACGTATAATTTTTATACTTATTTCTTTATTCTCGTCTACATTTCCAGATTTTTCGAAACATAAAACAAAAAAAATTCAATTTTTTTTTTACAAAATAAAAATGCGATGAATAATAAATCATTCAATCGAGAGAAAAGTTTTACAAGAATATATGCAAATCTACATATGGGTAATATGTTGATGCGACTTTTTATTGTATCGTCAAGGAAATATTATACATATAATATACATAGTCAGTGTATATTTCATAATAGAAACAATATGCCCAAACAACGCTATTCTAAATATTGATATAATATTAATGTTAATATAATATTAGGTTCTGATATATATGGTCCTGCTTATAATTATCGTCATGATGTTGCATGTACCACTAACTGTGACATATGTTCTCCTCCTTTAGCTATTTATATTCACTTAGAAAACCGATAATTTGGATCGTTATAATAATAAATGTCCTTAACCCTTAATTCTATGTCCTTCATGTTTTTCATTATAATTATATACATTTCTGCATAAAACAGTAGTATTTTCTTTTGTTACTTTATATAATGAATAACGAAAATTTTATATTATTATAAATTTTATATTAGTATAACTTCATATCTTAATTTATATTTATAACAATGATGTGTATTTTATTTTTATTTTACTATGGAAATATAACGTAATTGTTTAAATTAAAAAATTATAATGAATAAATATTATTTTTCTAAATCAATTGCAAGCAATGAATCGTTTTTAAATAGAAGGATATATATTCAAAATAAACATTGTTAGATATACTAATTTAAATATATATTCATTTTCTGTTTGAATTCAAATTAATCATTTAGTAAATCATTAAATAACCAATTATCGAATAATTCGAAAAATCAATATCATAATTGTTTTCTCGTTTTTCAACATAAATAATTAATACTTTTTTTTTTATAAAAAATATCAAAATTGATCGATCATGCATTCAAAATTGTATATTTTATTTTAAAAAATGAAATCGACTTCAATTTGATGAACAAAAAAAAAATAATTTGCGCTATGATTCCTTTTGAATCAAACAATTTTTGATAAAACATTTTTTTGATAATTTCAATCCTTTATAAGATATTTTATTGTTTTCACTTAAAGAAAACATAATCTGTATAAATAAAAAAAAAACAAAATATTTTTAATTAAGAATGAGACTTAATTTAAAGAATGACTGTTAAAGTAAGGAAAATTTCAGATATTTGCTTTGATATAACTAAACGAAATAAGAAAAGGATAGGCAATTATAGTCTAGTAATATAGCAGAGATTATTTTTCAATGGCTCTGTACTATCAATATCCATAAACTCTCGTATAGTTTGCTCGAAAATACGCGTAAACTTGCGTTTGAATTCGATAAATTTTAGTAGATCAAAGAAAACTAAATGTTTATGTATCTTTAGTTTAAATGAAATTATATAATGAATTCTGTCTTATATACTATTGAATAAATATGAATATATGTATATAAAATTATTGAAATTTTTAATGTATTATAATGTAATAATTCTGATAATATGCAAAAGTCTTTTAAATTTTTTTATCTAGATTTATAAAATGGTTTTAAATATTAATATAAACTTTATTATTGATTTAAATAATATATTTATGTATAAAATTATTAAATTTTTTGTGGTATATTACTTCGTAAATAAATAAATTGTACGTTTTTTATATTTTTTCATCATATGGATAACAAATAATAATTCGATTTTTTTAATATTATTGTAAAAAATTATTGTTCTATATAAAATAAATTTTTTTTAATTTATTATTAATTTTAAAATCATTAAATATTATTTATTAATTATAATTATGAATTATTATTATATATTAAATATTATCTATAATATTTTACGTAAGTATATTTAATAAAAAAAGATTGCAAATTATTCAAAAAAAATTATATGCTTATCATAATGAATAGAAGAATTAAATAAAATTGATCAAGTAATTTAAAAAGATTCACTAATTAATAAATCTATTTCAGTCAAATGAAAGTTGCATTAGCAAACTTAATTTTTTTAATAAATTATAGATATTATGTGATATTAGTTACCAATTCCTCCTTTTATTTCTTAAAAACATTTTCTTCCTAGTATAAAACTCCAACTTATAATCTTCAGTGAGTTATCTAGATTTATTACAAAAGATATTGGTTCTATAACTATCATTCTTATTCTTTTTTCCTTTTAATATACAATTTCTTTTCATAACAATATCTTTTGAAAGTCAATAACGTAACTGAATCTCTAATCGAATAAATTTATATGTATATATGGAAATAAAGATTTTAATTTTGATAAAATTTTCAAATCACAGAATAAATACTTGAAAAATACAGGGTATTCCAATAATGCTTCTTTTCGTTATATATGAGAAAAATGAAGTGATCTAATACATATCTTTTGCAATATCAACCATAAATCATTATGAAACGTGCCATAATTTGTATATATAATGGCCGATCGTGAAACTCTGCATTTCTGCAATATTTTTTTATGAATTCCTTTATCTAAGAAGACTAAGAATATACATTTTAAAAAACAAACGATAATATTTTGCTTCAAAACATTTTCCATAAATAATATATTTAAAGAAGATAAGAGAAAAATATTTGCATTTATAAGTTCGAAATATTTCCAAACTTGAGAGAAGTTTTGCAATAATGAATTTAAAACATAAAAATAATTATATATATGTGTGTGGGGGGATGGGTATATATGTGTATATTTTATATATAATATTTTTAATATTACTGATATAAAATTATAATAAAAATAAAATTGAAATAATATCAGAAAAATGGAAGATCGTTTTCATTTTTTTAATAGGAAAGAGGAAATATTGAAAACGTTAAGATAATTACATAAATATTTCATTGGATTAGTTTTATAAATACTTAAGTCGTTATAAAATCATATTCTATAATGATGAAATTTTAAATAATTTGAAAAAATTGTGAGTAAACTTAAAAATAAAAAATCTATTATTTTTTCCATGTAATAAAATACATCATTACATTCATGAAATTTTGGAAATTAATAAAGCATTTAATTTAAAAATATACTTAATCTTTTAATTAAAGAAATTTCTATTTCTTTTGAAATTAGTTTATTTCAAAAAAACAATACAAAAACATTTTAAAATGATATTTGTATTTTTTATTTTTGTTTTTTATTATAAATTATAAATTACAAGTAAAATTAATTTAAAAATTTTCATATTATTATAGAAACTTTATAAATATACTTACTACTATTATATAGTTTATAAATAAACTACTATAAAAAATTTAAAAATGAAAATTTATTTTTATTAATTTTTTAATTAATTAAAATTATATTTCGAATAGAAGTTATTGGATACGTGTTTTTAATTAATAGAATTTTTTAGAAATTTTTATAAAATTATTTATATATATTTTCATTTTTTATTATTATTTATATTAATTAATTTATAAAAAATCATGAAAATTTATTGATAATATTCATTAATTTTTTATTATAGCTGGGTTTCTTCACATATTATACAGTGGCGATGGGAGAGGTAAATCCTTCAGGGCCGGTACCAATCGACAGCGTTTTCATTTACAGACCGGACAAACGTCTTGAACTCTGGAGGTTTGCGTTTTATATGTTCCTTCATGCTGGGTAAGTGACATTAAAAAATCTTAAAAAATAAAATAATTTATATAAAAAAGAAAACATGAAAAAAAATTGTAATACAATTATTACAATACAATTATATCTAGAAATATTATATTAGATATTTTTACAATAATTGTCACTTTTATTAAATTTTTATATTAAATATATTTCGTTAAATATTATTATTATTTAATAATATTAAATACAAATATTATTATAAAAGTATTATTTCAGATATATTTTTAATAATTATTATATATTATTATATATATATTTTTAATTATATATATGATTTTTTTAATGGAAACATAATTAATTTTTTATTTTAAAATATTGAGAAAAAATACATTCTATTCAGAACGAAAAAATAACTATTCTATTTATATAAAATAAAAATTTTTATTTTTTATTCTGATTTCAATTTCACTTTTTATTTATGAATATTTTTTTTTATCTAAATGAATATCTATTTTTTTATTATTATGAAATTTACTTTTTTTATTATTACGAAAATTCCACTATTTACTTATATAATATATATTATATTAAAATTTATTATTTTTATTTATTTATTTAATTTATTATTTATATTATTTATATTTATTCTTTTAGCGAAACGAATTGAAATATTACTGAAAAATATATTATCATTTGTTAATTTTAATTATTATCAATATTAACATCATATTGATGTTAAATAAGTGGACAAAATGCAGTATATTAGTAAAGTTTTTTGTTTGACGAGTAGCAAAATAAAATTATTAGTATCGTAATATAGGATCAAGTTTCATTAGTGTCAGCTTGATCGCAATGCTACTATTTTTTAATATTAGGTGGATATTTGTTACGTTTGACTGCGAAATGAAATTTCTATGACGATTATTGGAAAATGCGGAAATTGAAATTCACGTAGTATTTGTCAAAAATGTCATGAAAAATTCACATTTCAAGAGAATCGTTTAAATCTTCTTTCTTTGGCATATGAAACTTTTATGCTGAATAAATTCATTGTTATTTGCAAAATGCGATATTCAAGAAATTTCATTCATAAGAAAGATTTAATATTTCATTATTTTCATATAATGAATTTATGATACAAATTTTTTAATTTTTATAATAAAGTATTAATATATTTCTGAGATATATTAAATAAAATTAAATATTACATTAAAATTTGTGATGTAAAATTATATTTATTGGAAAATATAAATTTTGTATCATTTTAATAAAATATAATAAAAAAATCATTTTTTTTTATGAATGAAATGTTTTTTTTTATAATGAAATGTTTAAAATCACGTTTATATTATTTTTATTGTAATTTTATTAGAATTTTCGTGCAAATTGTTAATTTATTTATATTCCTTGAATTTCCATATTCTATATTCTATATTTTGACAATTAATAAAAAATAAAAATATCAAAATTCATTTTATTTATATTTATTTTTTCAAATGATAAATTTTATTTAAAAGATATAATTTTAATCGGTAAAATAAAATTGATTGTATAAAATAAAATGTTTACAAAAATAAAAGACTAATTTTATATAATCTCATGTAATGTAATGCATAGTATGATAAAGAAAATTTGTTATATCCTCTATTGATTTTGAATAATTGATATTTTTGTTTGAACATACAATATACTATAATATATAAATATATTTATCAGTAAATAATATAAGTAATATTGAAAATTGAAAAGGGAAGACATTATTGTTTAATTTCCATATTTGATGTCCAATAGTTAAGAGAATATATATAATTATATAATTACATATAATTATAATTCATCAAAATAAGAAGTAAAAATTCAAAAGTTTTAAAATGTAATATTTTAATTATTTGGAAAAAGAATTCACGATTCTAAAAACTAGGAGAATATTTATAATTATTATATTAATTATAATTAAGTTTTTATGACTTTTAATAATAATTAATAATATAAATTTTATTAATAATATAATTAAAATGTCCGATATGTCGAAGTAGATATTTGGATATTTGGACAATACAACTAGTATATTATTAGTCTCGAATGGATTAACTACATTAATCAAATATGACAAAATAACTTGATAACTATAAGTTTAAGATTGCTCTTTTCTAAAAATTAAAAAATGTGATTTATGAATTATTAAATTTCGATTGTTCATGCAAAATCACGAATCAGTTTTTATTATTTTAATTATATTACTCTTAATTCAAGTTTTCAGTCAAATGCAATAAAAAATTAAAAATATGAAAATGCCAATTTTGAAGTGTATAATAGAAATATAAAATCTTGTAATAAATATAAACCACATGAAAATATTAAATTGGTATAATGTAAAGCAAATATGAAAAAAGTAATATTGAAGTAAAACAATGAAGAAATAAAATAATATTTAGAAAATGCTACTTGGCTGGCTAAAATCGAAAAAAATAATCGTTATTATAAATTCATAAAGAAATCATTAATTTCTCAAATATTTTCTATTATTTAATGTTTTAAGATATTTTTATGCACAATTATTCTTATATATATTTTAACATTGAAGTTATTAATCATATGTTTAATTAATATTTTATTTTCTCATTATTTTCTTCATAAAAAACATAAATTATTTTTTTTTCGCATTTATTTCATATCAATTCATTTAATATCTTCATGTATTTAATATTCTTATAATATTTATATATATAATAGTATTTTATATTTCAAAAATTTTTATTATTATTTTTAATAAATTTTATATAAATATTATTGCGTATAACTAAAAATTTTCTTATAGAGATAGAAATAGAAATGAAATCAAAATAAAAATTAATCTATTAATTATTAAATGTATTTAATATTTTATTTTATTTTGTTAGATATTATTTTTATTTTTGTATATTTTATTTATTTAGTATATTGTATTTTGTATATTTTTGCACTTTTAAGTTTTTCATATAGATTTCTCATATAAACATTTAAAGATTATTTATTATATTTTTTTTCTAAATTTTCATTCATATCTCAGACAATGATTAAGAGCAAAATTTTTTTTATTATATCATCTTTAAATAATGTAAATTTTTTATATTGATAATTATATCATGATAGTTCATAACAATATCAGAAAATAAAAAGAATATAGTTTGAAATTCAGATGATATCCATGAAGAAAATGTTATAAATTAAACATTTTGTTGACTATTTTTTAAATTGGCTACTCTTCACTATGAATGCACCTAATATAATTCCTTGATATTAATGATTTAATGATAATTGCTTTATATTATCACGAATCACGTTGCAATCTCTCATCGATTGACATGAATAGAATTCAACTATCATTTCACAAGTCGAAGAAAATTACGTTAATATTCCGTCATACTTTTATGATAGAAAATACGCTTTCTTTTTTTTCTTTGGTTATTTTTACAAAAGACTATTCTGATCACATTTTTTTCTTCTTTCATTCCTTTTTCATTTTCTTTCATGCTAGTATAGAATCTATTACTATATAAATTTTTAACAAAATTCTAATAAAATGACATGAACAATAGATTAATTATAGATTTTTTTTAAAAAAATTAGTTTTTTTTTCGAAAAACAAAGTTATGAAAAAATATTTTTAAATTAATGAATAAAATATTACACTAATAATGAATCATAAAAAGTACAATAAAAAAATTTAATAACATTAAAAAATAGATATCTTATATAATATTATTTTTTAAAAAATCACAAGAAAAAATGTCAATTATATCGGTCTAACTTCGTCTATACTCTTCTATGCATTCGATAAACACGCATGAATGTACTGAAATTGAATAAACATTATAAATAATAAAGAAAAGAAATCCTGGAAATTTTATTTTAACCTGATCATATCTAAATTTCTTACAAAATTCTTGCAATAATGTTATTTTATCTATTTCTAAATAAGAACGTGAACTTTCTCCTAGACTTTTAGGAAAATTTTATGATGCTTTAGTAATAATTTATAATAAAGGAATTGTGATCGATGGCAAATTAAATTACAATAAATATATATCTTTCATTGAAATTAATATTTAGGATAATCAATCATTAATATTTTTATTAATTATCGATTATTATATTATTAAATTATTGTATATTTCTTGGATTGTGATTTATTGATTCTAGTTTTTCATGTTTATTAATTATACATAATCTACTTAATTAGTATAAATTAAACTCAATAATTTTTATAATTATACAAGTACACAAAGTTATTTTTTTAATATATTATTCTATGATTATATATTACATTGTTATATGAAAAAAAATAAAAGAAGAAAAAGTATTATTATTTTTATTATCCAATATATTTTATTATTTTTCATAAAATATCACTGGAATATTTTTACTAAATTATGAAAATATTCTTTTATTTTTAATTATAAATGAAATTTATCATAATTTCTTATATTACATGAAAATATGTATTTTTGTTGAAAATAAAAAAATTATTCTGCTAAAAAATAGTCTTTATTTTCTGTCAATTTTATAAATAACAATAAATTATTCTATAAATCCAACTCAATTGTGATCAATTACAGATTAGTATTATGTGCTCAAATTTTTTTTAACTTCAACATTCAATCTTTAAAAACCTGAATTTTGAAGGTTAACATCATATTAGCTTCAATTTTATACCAAAGTTTAAATCTACGAAGTTTAGAAAGTTAGTTAAGGTATAAGGTCCAGTTTTTGAGACTGTTGACGTTAGAATAAATAAATTAAGTTTTATAATATTTTAATAACTCAACTTTATTTAATTTTTTATATTAAGCTTTGAAACTTTGAAAAGCAACAACTCATTACAATATTAAATCTTATCAATAAAGAACGATATTTCAGAACAATAAATGTATCTATGATATTTAAAGATATCAAAATTATTATATCTTAATTATGAAGATCATTATTGAAAATTTTTATAAAAATTTCTACTTACTTTATTTATATATTTTCAAATACTTTTTCAATATTAAAATAATTTGAAC